AACATCTTTACTATCTTAATGGTCTGGATATTTTAGGTAGTTTAAGCCTATCTATTCCACGAGGGCCATTAAAACTGTAGGTCTTCTAGTACTCAACTCTAACACAGATAAAAGAATTCTTATTTCTCATTTTCCCTTAAATGTTATTATTACTTTAGTTGTTATTCTTGATCCAGTTGGCCTTTTCTGCTCTTTCTTAAATGTGTCGTTTCTGTGTTATTAGTGGACAAGAACTGTGCATTATATTCAAGGTAGGATCTGACTAATGCATTGTAGACAAATGTTTCCACTATTTTATATTTAAAATTACTACTTAAGAAACCTATCATTGTGAGAGCTTTGTTTCCCGTAGCCAGACAATGCTAAGTGCACCCGAGTCATTACTGAGGTCCACTCCAAGGTCTTACAATAATAAGCAGCTTTGCAAAATAATAATAATAATTAACATTAACTTAAAAAAAATTTCGCTATAAGTGATTTCGTGAAGTCAGTGCTGGTGAAAAACTAACCCCCGTATCTTGCACATGTATACCACTGACAGATGGATTATTATTGTTCCAGCACATTCATGTTGAAGCGCTAAGCCCGTTGGGGTTATAATGTGCTTGAGGAATAGATGGTAATCAGGTTTAATCCGAGGAAGGCGAAAGTGGCTCTAAATCCTTAAATCAAAGACATTCACCACCATCCAAGCTCCCGGTTTCCTCTAGAAGGGACAGGCAGGTGGAGTGAGTGATGATATTGTTTACATACCACTCATGACCTTTATTTATATCAAAGAAACCATATTGTGAGATTCTAAAACTATAACATATATGACATAACATATGACTAGATTCGAAGAGCTTGTAGACATAAGCTGAATAAACCATGGAGATAAACTATCGTTAAAAACTCGGCATATGAGCCCCTTCGCAGTGTAATATCATGAGTGAGCTAAAACAAGTGTATTTGCAATGTTTAAAAATAAATAGTTCCATTTTAGCATTAGCATTTTCTACAGCAATAAATATAAAAGCTGCAGTGAGGAAGACAGGCGACACCTCAGCTACAATCCTTCCAGTGACGTTTTAAATATTACTCTCCTTGTACCACCGCACTATTAAACTACCATTAGGCACTTTGATGTTGTTGTTGAACACAACAAATATATAAGAATTAAGTTGAATAATGGTAACATTCCAAATCCTTTAACTATCCTCCCCCCCCCCCTAAAGAGAATAGTTAACTAAATATGTCTTTTATAATTATTAATTCTGCGCCAAAATTAACATACAGTAACCTTTCTAAAATTTTCGTCACAAAAAGAGTTTTAATTTATGTAATCTAAGAGTTTGTACAACATCATGGGTAACTGGACTGAGAAAAACCCACACGTACACAGAAACACAATGTAATTTAAAGAATATATTTCGATCTTCAATGGTACTGAAGATCTCAAACGGAAATCTGATATAGACTTTTTGTAACAAAGTTTATGCTTATATGTGGGTTTTTCTTCAATCAAGTGACAAATATACGCTACACTTTGATGCTTCATTATAGTTAACAATCATCTTTGGGAAGAATCTTCAGGTGATCCAGCATTTCGAACACAGGGTATAACAAACCGGCTGAATATTTCCTTCAGCGTTTTAACATTATCACCAGAGGTGTGTTCTTTTTTTTTCTTTCTAGGGTTCATTTGCCTGTATCAGAGGCTAGAACCCATGCCCTCGCAGCAGAGGTTCCTGACCCTTGGGAAGCCCCACAGTCAAGGGAAATACAATGTTTCAACAGAGTCGATATGTAGTCTAAGATCTCCCAGTCCCAGTTCCCGCGTCCTACTAGGAAAAGTTTGTTCCTCGATTGTATCCCGCGGTCATTATTACTCCTACGATTTTTCTTATGAATCTGCCATTCCGGTTCATTAGTGTCAAGGATAACTTAAAAGAAATATTTCGGTCTCTGCGCGATCCAAAAACCATTATCTCAGTCCCATGTGCCTCAACGCACGCGAGTGGAATAGGCAGAGTGCAGCATAAGTTGATAATGCAATTCAATATCAGGGAATAAGAAAAAGCATTCACAATCCATCAAATGGAATCTAATATCCAAATTTTTTCCATATAAATGTAAATTAGGACATACACAGAACAAATGTAATTCAAACCTTCCAAAGAGACCATTAAACTAATATACACAAGCACATTAATCTTGAAGCCGCTCAGAAGCTGTGTTATTAGCGTGGAAGAATTGTAGCTAATAAGATGCCACACTCAGAAATTACACCATGAAACGAGGTATGTCAATATTTCCAATTTCTTGGAAAAAAAAAAAAACTGGGACTTACATAAGCAAAAATTAACTAATTAGTAATTAGGCAAATAAATTTTATGTAAACTCAGTATACATAATACACGATTTTTTAACAATGTTCTTGCGAGCACACTTATTATACACACAAAAGAATATTAAATTATTTAACCAAGAATAGCCCAATAAAGTGAATGTGACTTATTTATGATCAGAAGAAACATTCTCCAATTATTTCACAGTAACTTATTTCAATCAGAGGAAAGTGTATGTAAAATAATTCTATACCATTTAGAGATTAAAAGTGCTAAAATGGCACCAACACATTTCATTAAATATACCAACCTTCTACTAAGTAGGATTGAAATTCTATTGAAATTCTGAAGCCGATTAGAGGAGCGTGTCTCCAATTGTCACAAGAAAATTAAATTTGGTTATGGCCTATACAACCTTATGGAGAGGGCATCCACGCATGTAGTCACATGAATCTTGCGCAAGATATATTGCAGCAGCAGTGAAAATTTTAAGACGATCGAATTAGGTGTTCTCGAGTAACGAAAACTTGTAAAACAAAAATGTTGCTGAGAATGTTCCGAAAATAGGAAAGATTTCCCTCGTTAAGCCATAAACGTGATTCCTCTCCCTCCCCCCAGATTTCTCTCCTCATTGACATTCCATATAAATTTTTTTACAATCATGCACGAAAAAATATTTTTTGCTTTAAAAAAATCCAGTTTCATAAAACTGGTAAAACGGCAAACAGGCCCAGCAGAAGAAGCATTCGCTAGTTATTACGTGGGAAGCAGTTTAATAAAACTGGCAAATTTAAATTTACACAGCTTTGTTTTAATAAAACCCACCAATGGTAAAAGCTTTAAGTCAACCAGAGAAGATATTCTCCTGTAATTGATCTGATTCTAATGATCCCAATTTATGTAAAATTTCAAATTTGCACCTACTCGGACTTAACTTATGGGTTTTCATCCATATTAACGAATGCATCGTCAATAATATTTTGAAGTTAATCAATAGAAAACATTCTTTATTTACTGAATGAAAGTGAATATCATTATTTATTTAATAAAACTGAGAAATTGTGACTTACGCCACGCAAGAGCAGCGTGAGTCTTGTGTTTATGAAAACAAACCACTATTGAAAATTTGAAGCCGATGAGATGGGTCATTCTCCAATTATTTCACGGATTTCAACAATTCTATTTTTATGTTTTTACTATTTTACTACAACAAATCTGCTTGTACACAACCAAAACTTAATGGACATCATCCTGGCCCTACGGTGCATCCCATTAAATGTTAAAACTGTTCAGAGGATAAAAACGTTAATTTAATGTGATTTAATGGGAATAAGACTTTCACAGTACATTAAACATAAAATGGTTAGATCTACACCTACGTACTTGAATTTTATTCTTCTCCACCACTGAGGATTTTGGAAGCTATCTGAGACATGACAGGATGCTGGGAATAGGTTCAACAAGTTTGGTCATAGGTCATGTGAACATGTCAATTGTTCTAAGAGTCTAGTCCTCGTTACCGTACACAAGCGTTTAAAATTTGAATATACTGGATGAGGCTTTCTAGAGTTATAAGCAAAATAAAATCGAAAACAAAAGAAAAAATCTGGCAACCCCCTTAAAGGCGCCCCTTCGTTGATACCTAATTACATTTAGCAGGTCACTAACAGTGCTTGTGCAGATTTTAAAGAACTTTGAAAGATGTCAAATGTAACTTCGATCTACTTGCCCTTAGAAATAAAAATACCAAGAGTTACATCATAAATTCGAATGTCACGCTAATGCAATTAGAAAGAAGCCCTTAGCTAATTCAAAACCCAACATAACATTAACGTAAACATCAGAGCAACTTACAATATAAACAGACTGTAAATGCCAGGTTTAATTTTGATTACAAGTACATTTGACATATAAACATATAAAAAACAAATGACAGGTATGCAGTGATTACTATCAGATTTAAGTATCAATACACTTAATAAGGAACAGAGAGGCAGGCAATACCAGAACCTCTGACAAGAAATTGAGATTTTATTATTGTTATAATCAAAAAGAAGCGCTAAACCACAAGGGCTATACAGCGAGCAAGAAATTGAGAAAATCTGAAATTCGTTTGAGATTTATTATTATTGAGCTTAGTTCCCAGGTTCTATAACAGTATATGTTGTCCACAGGATCGATACAAAGTGCACATAAAATAGCCAGTACGGCGATAATTAAATTTCAACACTAACATTAGGGTTATAAATGATGTCAAACAATGAGACGCATAAGTACAATCATTCACCTGCATTGCAGCGAGCGTTGTGGACACTACTGATGGTACGAAGCCAAACGTTAACTATACATATACCTTATAAGGTTAGCAGGGCGATTTAGGACGCTACTGTGTCCCAGATCACTTTTTATATGCTTCCGGTTGTGCTCTTCTTCCACACGCGAAACATTCAACAGGTGTAGCAAACTAGTCAAACTAAGAGACCTACCGAAGTATTGCAGTTGTTCTTGCAATTAAGACAAGGCTGCGGACGAGTGAACACTGATTTGCCGTTGTGAAAAATTCAGGAAACGGTGATTTTTTTTTTTTTGAACCAAAAAATTGAAGGGAAATATTTGTTTTTGTTTTTCAACAACACTTTTAAATAAAATAACTTTTTTCCATTATTTCAGGAAAAAATGGAGAAAGCAGCCGAAGAAAAGAAATTAAAGGAGCAAACTGAGAAGAGAGAGGGAGAAACAACGCAAGATATGAACAAGTCATCGTCTCACCACAACAAAAAAGATGAATTATGAAGGTTGTTTGTTGTCTGAAGTAACCTAAGTCCATATGTTGACGATAATGATTTTATATATAATCATTTATGATGTTATTTATCTTTTAATAAAATTATATCTTAAATATAAATAAATGCTTATTTTTTCCTGTTATCAACTCGTGAACATAAAACGTACGCTATAGTAATTTACTATAACTAAAGGTCTAAACTAGATATGGTTCGACTGAGCTGACCTTTCCAATATGTCTAATACAATTTTTAAATATTCCATAAAATAACAAAGGCCTCACCCCATCCCTTTAGGAAAAAATACAACCAGTTACAAAAAAAACCTCAATCCTGTCTTTATATTTTAAAAATTATAGTTTGTAGATTTACATACAGAATTTACACAAACACTGAATCCATGGCGGTTGGTTGAGACGAGGACAAGGGCTGGCACCAACCTTTACACCCATGCACAAAAGAACAAGCAAATGCTGTAATAGCAAGGCAAAATGCCGTGAGAGACATGATATGCTTCTCGCAGACCCGTCCCTACCTTTCACCACCACCCAACCACTCCGCCACCACCCAAACAACCACCCCACCATCACCCAAACAGCCACCCCACCATCACCACCCAAACAACCACCCCACCACTCAAACACCACCCATCACCCAAACACCCACCACCCCAACCACCCCACCAAACAAACACCCCACCATCACCTAAACAACCACCCCCACCCAACAACCACCCACCACCCCAAACCCACCACCCACACAAAAAACCACACCACCACCCAAACTACCCCACCACCACTACTCAAACACCCCACCCATAACCACCCAAACAACCACCCACCATCACACAAAACAGCCATCTCACCGCCACCACCAAAAACAACCACTCCACCACACCCAACCCCCACCACCCAAAAAACCACCCCCACCTCAAACACCACCCCACCCCACAAACAACCACCACCCAAAAACAACCCCCACCCCACCACAACACAACCCACCCCACTATAATCGCAAACCACCACCACAACCCATCCCAGACATATTCAAAACCACACCTCCAACCCAAACTACCACCAAAACACCCCACCCACCCCACTAAACCAGCCTCACCCTCATTATTATATGGCGAACGCAAACCCGTAGTTTTACAACGCATTGTCGGGTATGGAAGTATTCAGACTCATGAAGGTCCCGAGCCATATCAATTCCTAATAAAAGTCTTCAGGACCTCTTGATGGCCCAGCCCTCATATAAACTGCTGCTCTCCTCACTACAATTTTCATTCTAGGTCTTTACATAGCTACTTCCCTTTTACTGAAAGAATTAAAGATCAGTGTCTACTAGCATATCACCATAGTTAAATTTAACTGTGTTATTATTCTAACCATACTAACCCTGGTACAACTTAGTTAGAGGTGAAAGTTACCGTCTCATCTCAAACTAAACAACAATAACATTATTAGTTTATAAAGTTTAAAGCCTATCGGCTTAATATAGGTCATCAATAAGCTTGAAAATCAGGTGAACTAAAAAATAATAAAATAAGAGATTAAATTAACCTGTGGATAAACATATATTTCTAAGCGTATATAATTAGATACAACCTTCCAAGGTTAGATTTTGTGTGCTTAAAGTTAACCGACTGCACATATTTCACAGAATGTGCATCTCGCCTGTACACCAATCCAGAAAACAAAGAGCGCGCGCGCGCGTGTGTGTTACAGATATTTGTAATTCCACTTCTACAGTGATATACAGACTAAAACAAGGTACATATATAAATGTCATCAGTTTCTAATTAAAATTACTAATTAACTGAAAAATCAGCACCAAAGGGAATACAATCATATTTTGTTATGCAAGGTTATTGCATCCTATTATATTTTCTTATCATGCACAACACTTACCAAGCAGCCTAATCATTTTTTTATAAAATTTACATAATATATGTATAATTATTTACCAAACGTATCTAAGAATTTGCAGTGTCTTCAGGTGATGTAAAATTACCACAAGAGGCTATAAACGTTAATAGTTATAAACTTTTAAGACTAAACCGTTGTATCTTAAAACATATTCTCATTTTGTCTTATGGATTGGACTTTGTCAGTGTTATATTCATGGCGAGCGCTAAACTCGTGAGGTTAGTATAGCGCCTGGGGAATGGGAGGCAATCTGATTCGATCCAGGAAAAATGTGGGTAGACCCAATTCTTTGGATCAAGAACACTTCACCTGAAGGGAAGTGCACCTTGTATATATTCCTATTATCTCATGATGTGTATGAACTGGGCTCAACACTGCTCGTATACTTGGCGAGGCGTTTATATCGGTATGTATACACTCAAACTGTACTTTAATCCCTATGTCAAAGAACAAAATTCTTTTGACTGGTGGTGAAGAAGCTACACACAGCCTTAATGACCCTGGTGTAGTCTACACACTTGAAGACCATCAACCAACGGATATTATGGATTGAAAAGATAAGATAAGATAAGATTTCGTTCGGATTTTTAACCCCGGAGGGTTAGCCACCCAGGATAACCCAAGAAAGTCAGTGCGTCATCGAGGACTGTCTAACTTATTTCCATTGGGGTCCTTAATCTTCTCCCCCAGGATGCGACCCACACCAGTCGACTAACACCCAGGTACCTATTTGCTGCTAGGTGAACAGGACAACAGGTGTAAGGAAACGTGTCGAAATGTTTCCACCCGCCGGGAATCGAACCCGGGCCCTCCGTGTGTGAAGCGGGAGCTTTAGCCACCAGGCCACTGGGCCACCTAGAATAAGCACCAGAATAAGCACAGTATGCAATTTATAAATTTGAACTAAAGCTCACTTAACAACGTAATCACGTCTAGAAGTACCAAAGCAAGCAGCTTAAATTATATGGTTATTTAAAAAAGAAGGGCAAATATTATCAAGAACGAAGACCTGAATTATATTACATTGAAGTCAGTTCCACAGCAATGTGAACTATCAAAATTAACTGTATAATCAGACAAGCACTAAAAGATATGCCAATTTTAAAATAATATTCTTGGCAAATCCTTGGTGAATCCTAGCAAATAAGCCATACCCGGAGTATACCTGGAGAGAGTTCCGGGGGTCAACGCCCCCGCGGCCCGGTCTGTGACCAGGCCTCAAAAAAATAATTAAGAGGGGCATAATTAGAGGGACAAAATAAATATTATGTTTGGGAAAGAGATTGAACTGAGGATTGAGTAATTTGAATATAGGCGTGAGGAAAGCAACATACTACACTGGTTTTATAGTATGCTAAGTTATAATATAATAATCGCTGCAGAGCTGCTGGATTAGGAAAAAAGTGAAATATATGAAATAAAAATGTGATAAAAATAATAAATAAGGAATAAACAAGTAATAATTAAAATTAAAAGTAATTTATAACAGTAATAACTATTATATTTACAAAGGGCGCTAAACACGATTTGGAAATGTTATTCCAATAGTCATTTCCTCAGCTTAGTTAAATATTTACCACGTCAATTTTTTTTTGAAGTTTTAATCAGTCTACTGATGTTAGTATTAAATTTATGTAATTTGAACGAAGTCTTACTCTTTTCTTTAAAAATAATTGTAATCTCTGCAATGAATGAATTTCAGACGCTCAGTGTGCCAGTAGTTAAGGGGCAAATAACCTGGCTCATCCAAGCCTATGCCATAAATAGCGCACTAATGATGAGTCCCCATCACTCCATGTGCTACGACCCACATGGGTTTAGCGCTTCACAAGAACACAAGAATGGAGGAACACTGCTGTATGCCGACTGGTCCATGCTAGGCAGGTCTAACTTACACCAACCCACACACCACTTACGTACTCATCCAACCTATATTAAAACCTACCCAAAGTTCTTGCCATATGACGCTACCTGTGAGTTTATTCCACTCATCTACAATTCTATTGCCAAGCCAGTACTTCCCAATATTTTTCAGCCAAACTATTGCAAAAGCTATTTTGTTTCTTGTTACCCTGTAAGACATCGTGAACAATGTGTTGTGTTGAGGAAAAGCGAGTTTTTACTTTTCTGCCAAACTCTCCTGCCTTAAAATAAATATAAATACATATACTGTTGGCTAAAATTGTTGGATAGTTCAAAAAATTTCAAATAAAAGAAAGTGAAATAAGTTCGAGAGACCTGCAGGTACAAGATATGTTGTGGAGTGAGCAATAATGGGACACTGATCAACTCACTCGCCACCCACATAAGACCATAAGAAAGGACACTGCAGCAGGCCTACTGACCCATGCGAAGCAGGTCCATGTCCCACACCCACCACCCTGGATTAGCCCAATGACCCACCTAGTCAGGTCATTTCCACTTAAGGAAGAAGCACGGCATCAGACCTAGTAGCACAAGCTAGTCAGGTCCAACTCACACCCACCCTCACCCACTCATGTATTTATCTAACCTATTTTTAAAACTACATAACGTTTTAGCCTCTATAACTGTACTCGGGAGTTTGTTCCACTCGTCCACAACTCTATTACCAAACCAGTGCTTTCCTATATCCTTCCTGAATCTGAATTTTTCCAATTTGAAACCATTGCTGCGAGTCCTGTCTTGGCTGGAAATTTTCAGCACTCTATTTACATCCCCTTTATTTATTCCTGTTTTCCATTTATACACCTCGATCATATCCCCCCTAATTCTACGCCTTTCGAGAGAGTGCAGATTCAGGGCCCTCAGAATATCCTCATAGGGAAGATTTCTGATACATGGGATCAACTTTGTCATCCTCCTCTGTACGTTTTCCAGTGCATTTATATCCATTCTAAAATACGGTGACCAGAACTGAGCAGCATAATCTAAATGAGGCCTAACCAAGGATATAAAGAGTTGAAGAACAACCTGAGGACTTCTATTATTTATACTTCTAGATATGAAGCCAAGAATTCTGTTAGCTTTATTGCGAACACTAATGCACTGTTGTCTTGGTTTTCGATTACTGTTAACCAGAACTCCTAAATCCTTTTAGCAATCAGTAGTATTAAGATCTACATTATTTAGTTTATATGTGGCATGGTTATTTTCCTGTCCAACATTTAGAACTTTGCATTTGTCTATATTAAACTGCATC